ATCTGAGCTTAACATGGATAAAGGATGCATATCAATTTACTATAAATACAGATGTAGGATTTTCTATCCGTATGCTATCCATGTCAAAAAAGTTAATTTAAAGCTTCTAAATTGACAGATTTTGTAAAATTAATTTAATGCAGTTTCACCAAAATTCTTTTTTTATGTCAATGATATTTATGACAGATGATGGCCACAGGCAGAAACAACTCCAGTGGAAACACCAACACAGATTTTAATGAGTAATATATTTCCTCATGTCTTTCTCATTCATGATTTGCCCTACAGATCCGAAAGGTTCCTATATAAACGTATCTTGTACTATATTTGCTTTTAATGGCCTATTAGTTCTTTTATTGAAATACAATGACAACCTTACATGATTTTAGTACAACAGTGTTTCATAATGTATTTTCGTTTGTTTTGTGTAGCCCATCATCTGTGCTCTAGCTCAGCTGACTGGTGTGTCCACACAGGAAGCAGAAAACTGGTCTCTCTGTTCCTTGCTGGTCTTCAGCACAGCAGAAGGTAAGAGTTGCAGGAAAAGACCTGCAAGGTTAAATGGTGCATGTAACATTGTTAACTGTGTACTTTTTTTGTCTGTTCTAGTGAGATTGAAGACTTTGACCCGAGAATAACCTGTCAAATGAAAAAGGACGGTCTGCTGTAGGACTGTACATTTTTATTATTGCTTTTCACTTATCTAAGTGTTTTTTTTCTTTTCTCAAAATAGAATTTTTACTTTATTTTTACGTTATTTATATATAAAACAAGTACTGACTACCCTCATAGTGCTTTTGCTCTTCACTTATTCTTCACTTTCCACAATAAATGAGTTGCACACAACCTGAAGATAAATTGATCTTGAAATTACCACTGCTAATGCTATCTGCACACTGACCTAATATTTTATTATGTTCTTGTATTGCTTAGATTTGCATTTCCAGTATTTCTTCTCTTATTGTTTCATTCCTTATATATATAATGCACCATTTCAGGTTGACACAGTGATAGGTTTGTTTTGCTTACACTATGAAGATCTTGATAACTTCTCAAAACATAATAAGCACATTTAGGGAGGGCCACAGTTCCCTGCAGCTTAAATACAGCAAAGAAAACGTGAGAGGAACCAAGATTCTAAGAAGCAGTCCTGACAGAGTGAGTCTTTTAAGCATGGACACTTGGTGTAAGACAAAATATATGGGAAATGTATTGTTAATTAAATATACACAGCATACAAAACACTATAGACAGTATTTAAACATTGAAGACACAGTCCACAAACGGATCAACATCCACTTTTCAGTCTGTTTATTGGGAATGTTGCAGTTGAACTTATTTTAGGTGAATGTTTATCTGATTCATTTATTTATGTATATTCCAACAACTGTAACTGTTATTAGTGGCATTCAATGTATGCGGCCATTTGAACATTTTCTGAGCAGAAATTGTAGCATACACTCGCTTAGAATGACATTCCATTCCATTTTTCTACAAATGCATTATTGTCTGCGCTTATCTTAGTTGCGAGTAAAGCAATGATTGCCAATTATGATGATCTGTCAAATATGTAACGTTGTTTTGTAACGTCAAAACATAATCAGGCAGGCATTTACGGAAATCGGCGCATTGCGCAGCGTTCGCGGCGGTCAGAGCATTGCCCATGCGCTCGCCTATCGGCCAGGCAGTCAGTATCAAATAGTGACGTACACGAAGTGCGCATTCGTCCTCAGATCGGGCAGCCACACGCACAAATTGGCCCAATCCCAAACCGGTCCCTACACACTCCGCCTCACCATTCCGCCTTCGTTTGCGCGTTCCCGAGACCCATCGCCATGTTGAAGTGTGTCTCAAAGCAGCAGCAAGGGCTAAGGGGGAGTGGTCGATTATACCCTCCTTTAGCGAGTCAGCAACGATGGTGGCTCACGCGATTCCACTACCACTTCCATATCCGGCAATTCCTAGAGCACAGGAAACAGAACAGCGCGATAATTTAATAATTGGATTCTAACAGCACTGTGAAATACACATAGAAAGTCTATGTTACATGTTATAATTCATCGCTGCAGAAAAAAATTAGGAAAGCAGTTATTTGTAGCTGGTCAGTACAGATAGATTTTATCGTGATCCGATTACAAGAGATTTTGTGTACTTTTCAAACTAGAAACCACAGGAAGAAACGTTCGTACGCAAACTCCAACAACATCACACCAGCAATAACAATTTACGTTTCATATTTGCCTGTTTTTTTCCCCCTACAGATCTGATCTAGTATTTGATACAGAAGTAATGTGTAATGTTTCATGCGTGTAAACTGTTATCTATGGTAGGGTGACCAGATAATCCATGTCAGGGAGGACACTCTGAGCTAGGCCAGGAATTGTAAATTACCATTTCAATTAAACGGACCTGGATTTCACTTAAGTACTGAGCTCTTGCTGTGTGCTGATTGGTCAGTCTCCTATAATCATGCATGTGTCACTAATGCTAATGTGAAACAGGTGGATGAGGCTTTCAGTCAAGGAAACAAACCAGTCAAAGCACAAGAAGAGCTGAACTATTTAGCCGAGCACAGGAGCCTTTTAATTTGAAAGTAGCTTGTAAAACCCGAAGTAACTCAAAGTGTCCTCCCTGACCTGGATTATCTGGTCACCCTAAGCTATGGTAGAAATTGTACAATCGTCAATATGACACGTGTACATAGGCTACTTAAAATTGCTCAGTGCAATAAGACGACGTAGCCGTCGTCTTCTCGCATTAGATAAACTTTGTGCTTTTTAAAAATAACTGATATGTCATTAAAGAAAATACAATGCAGCTTCTTGATGGATCCATTTGGTCAAATCACTACGTAATGCATTTCCTCTTTCCGGTAAAGAAGACTGTAAAAAGGCGCTGCGAGGGCAAGTCTGTCTCATATCTTTCTTTTGACAATTTCCTTCGGTTTACGTGCATAGGGCGTGTTGTGAGGATGACTCGGCGGGAGGGTGACTCGAAATGAAGGCGGAGTGTAGAGGGTTTGGGATTGGGCCGTATATTATGCATGAACCGGATCCGGAAGCTAAGAATCCCGTAGGGTGTACGGACTACGGATCGAGTAACGACAAGACCCTCTTGCATCCCAGGTTTACGAAGAGCGTCTGGCCGTTATGCTTACAGTTTCAGACTCTCTGGTTCAGACAAGAAAACTTACGGAAAATCTATATTATTTCATTATAAACCTAAACTTAACTAGATCAAAAGCGTTGGGGTAATTTGCAAACGCCACAGGCTATTTTCAAGGTGATTAATCTGTGACATACATGAAAATGCGACAGATTTGTTTCGAGTTGAAAATGTCACGCCAGCCAGCTGACCAAAGCTGGAAACCGTCATCCAGTATTTTTTTTCCTCTGCATTGTCATTTGAGCGGCATACCAAATTTCGTTGTACAATGACAATAAAGGTATATAAATACTTCTACAAATGCATGGGGCGCTATATACACAAGAAAACTGCGCAGTCGCATTTATAATTTTACAGCAAGGAGCATATCATTCTTATTTCAGCAATACATGTGCTTATACACTACGAACAACGCACTTTCGATTAAACCCTGAACTTTTGATTAAATTACCAGAAATATGACTACGCCATTCAAATGCAAATAAGCACTACCTATTTGCGTATGCATAGTACAGACACAGATTAATGATGCTACGTGATGTGGTGTATATACATACTGCAGATCCGGGTAGTGAAATGTTCAGTATTTTTCTCTGTGTTGCACATTAGGTTGATTAGGTTGTGCATAAATTGTCTTAAATTGTTCACAAAGCATGGTTGTGTGTGAGTGTGTGAATAGTTATTATTGATACAAACAAAAAAGATTATTTAGCTTTACATAAGGACTGCATAAGAAACAAAGTTATAAGCAAACAGCCTAAAACTATCACAGACTAATATAGATAAATGATAAATGTGTTCCAATTATTACAGTTTATGTGGTAAGTATTTGGTTTTAAGCAGTTTTCTTTTGTCAAAATTAGACCTACCTCATTATTTCGGCAGTTAAGTGGAACACTTGTACACTACAATAATGCCCATTTAAGAGAAGAAAGAAAACAGGGCTGCACTATGAGCCACTGTTCTATTTCGCGTACGATTTCTATGTTCAAATGCCACGTTCCGTACGCATTACATCACACGTGAATATACGTATTACGTGTACACGAGGCGTACGAGCAAGTTTGAAAAGAGGAAACATTTGTTTCAAAAACAGACGTGTACACGGTAAATCGAAGTAAATATTGTTAATATCAATAAATTGTATCCACGTCAACATAAATATGACTATACTGAGAAATATTGCTAGCTTTTTTTCTGTTCTGCAAGAGGCTGAAAACCAAATAGATAAATTCGAATTTAGAAGTCGTCGTACATGTAATTGTGTGGTTACATAGCTAGCTGTTTTAAATGTGCATTTTTCTATAGTGTAGTTACTTTGTAATTGATATAATTGAAATTAATAACAGCGATATCGTATTTTGACTGCTCACTTCACGCTCAGCGTCGCTTTATTTCAATGACATGCAAGTAATTTCGCGAGTAATTAGCAGTAATTAACATCGTACTATTCGTTACATGGTTACTCGGTATACTATTAACTTGTTTTATTTTTCTTTATATTGGTTAATAAATTTACCATTGTAGCCGAAATGGCGATTGTCTAAATTGCGCCAAATTGTATAGTGAGCTGGCAAGTTGCATTGTCTAACATTTATGTGAAACAATAGATTTAAATCGATAACAGAGAACGTACATATTTAGATTATCACTTCTATTTGTAATTTAATTCCTATATTTCTACTTTAATATAATAACATAAATATTTGGATGGCTAGGTCAGTGAGTCTCAGCCAGTATTGGGATGGTGGTGATGTAGTATGGCTCCGCGAATCCAGCTTGAGAGAGCCGCCTGGAGCTGGGCTGACACTGTGAAGCCGGAGGATGTGACGGAGGAGCACATCGAGAAGGCGTACCGTATCCGAGTGCCGGCCTGTAAAAGGGTCGTATGCAGGTGACCGTTAAATGCATGCCTTTAATGCTCGTGAATCTTACAAATAGACACTTGATACAAGTTTTAAAATCGAATCAATATGTAATGAGTTAACAATCATTTCAGTTTTTTGCGTGTGTGCTAAAACTTTGATTCACTACATAACTTGCCCTTTAAATAAATTTAAAAAAAACTTGTCTGGAAAAATCTAATTCGTTTTCGTAGTTATATGGCATAGACGAATGTATTTAGTATATGACTAACTTGGAACTTGAGTTGCAAGTAATTTCAGGGGTTAGTGGTCGCAAATATATTAATTGTTACAAGTTCATGTACTAAATGGAAAGGTGTGTTAACGGTAAGTTAACACTAGGGAATTGTTATATGTTGGGGTTTGTTTAGGTCGTAAGTAAAGAGAGACTAGTGACAGATCTAGATTTTTTTTACTATGCTAGCAATATTGGTTATTTGTGGGATAGCAGTCATGGGTAACCAGAATGATGTCTTTGTGGAAAAATCAGGTATTAAAACCAAGCATTACTACAGAACACTCATTGACTCGTTTCTTTGCATCGTCCTTTAATAATGTGTTTTATACTGCTATTTCAAAAGTTGTTCTTATGATATAATTTAATATTTTCTCCACTGTTTCTTAGGAGAAACTGTAAAGGAAATCCTAATTGTCTTGTTGGCATCGGAGAACAAGGGTGGCTAGGTGAAATAGATGAAAATTCCTTCCACAATATTGATGATCCAAATTCAGAAAAGCGAGACAAGGTACTACATATGTTTTCTTTTCAAATAGTTCTGGACAGTCTATGTTAACTGTTGTAATCAATTAATTAATATTTTTATGTATGTGGTTGAAAACTGTTTTCTTGAATATTTTATGTAAACTGTTGTTTTTCTCAGTTTTAATTTGTCTGAAGTTTTTCTGTCCAAATGAAACTTGATTTGAAGACTTAAACTTCTCTCATTTCTAGAACAAGTTTGTTGGCTTGACAAACCTAGGAGCGACATGCTATGTGAACACATTCTTGCAGGTATGGTTTCACAATCTAGAGCTGCGCGAAACCCTTTACCTATGTCAGAATTCCAGAGCGGAGGAACACAACATGGAGTCAGGTCAGCAAATTTCCTGCTTATGTTAACTTTGGAAATGTTCTATAATAAATAAATATTACCGTGTACAACAAAACATTTGTCAGTTTCATAGAGCCTAATAGTCTTATTTTCCAAATGTATAAATCATACAGAATATACCTCAGCCTTTGCATGCAAGACAGGAAAAAGTGCTAATCAGTTATTTTTCTGAACAAATGTGTAATATGCCGCTATTCCATATATAGACTATGAGCCCCAGAGTATATGTGAACATCTGCAGTACCTGTTTGCATTGCTGCAGAACAGCAACAGAAGATATATTGATCCCTCAGGTCTGGTGAAGGCATTGGGTTTGGATACAGGACAACAGCAGGTGCTTATCTTTATGTACTTAAAAAGGTTTCCCCTTTTAGTTTAGAAGAAAAGTTGTATTTTATAAGGTGGATAATATAAAAAAGTACTATTTGAATAAAAAAATGTCAGCATAATGAAGCAAGTATTACTTAGCATCTCTTTTTTGGCCTCTTAGGATGCTCAGGAGTTCTCCAAGCTTTTCTTGTCCCTCTTGGAAGATACCCTTTCAAAACAGAAGAACCCAAATCTGCAGAATGTAATACAACAGCAGTTTTGTGGGCAGTCTGCTTACGTCACTGTGTAAGTGAATTTTAACTCTTTTATTATTATAATTAGGCATATTATGTTAATGAGTTTAATCCCTTTTCAGTTATATTCATCTGGGAAGGAAGACTGGATTAATCACTGTTGATTAATGATGCAGTAGATGATCAACAATGATTTACTTCTCGTCACAGTTTCAGTGCTTATGCTCTTTTTAAATAGATGTCTCCTAAACATTGTTATGAACAATAATTATTTTTCAGTCAAAGTTTTTGTTGGTATGTAGACAAACACTGTAAATTGGATCATTATAATTAAATCCGTATGAATTTACTCCTTTTAGCAAGGCAAATTTGTGTCAGAACAGTGATATGCAAAAGTGCAATTGTAGTTTAATTTTTTAGAGGAAAATTACTAAAGGTTTTAAAGGATTTTTATCCCCTTTAATTCTTAGACCTGTTTTAAAGCATGCTGTATATATTTATACAAAATGTGCAGATTTCATTTTTAAATTTTAATTATTTAAATTTTAATACATTTTGTTGATTTCAGTCCGTCCTGTTTTGTACTCTAAACAGACTTGGTTTTCAGGGCCCAGGCGTTTCCCACAGTGCTGTTGACCTTGAATTGGATCAGTTATGCAGAAAGCTTGTCTTTTATCATCCCAGAGATGTTCAGTTGAATTGGTGATTAGACTGGTTGCTGTGTTAAGTTGAATTCATTGTTCATGCTCATGGAACCATTCCTAGACAATTTTAGCTAATGCATATATCAGAATTATGGGACTTGAGTCTGGTCTCAAGCCCACATATAAGTGGACTGGTTTTGTTATGCACTTTAGTGAATTTTGACTTGGTCTTGACTTGAACTCGAACACTTTTGACTTAGATACCCCTTCCAGAGTCCAGTCCAGAGTTTCAGTGTTTTTCAACATTGAACATGCACCTATTAGTAATATAATCAAGACCACCTAAACTGAGACCAAGTCATTACCAAGACCAGACTGTATTGAGACCCAAGACCAAGGCAGAGCTAGACCAAGTAAAGATCAGAAACAGACTAACGTTTGAGTTAGGGCTGCCACTAACATCTGTTTTTCTAGTGATTAATCTACTGACTATTTTAGTGATTGGTCGATAAATCTAAATCAGTGGTTCTCAACCGGTGGGGGGGGCGCGGACACTCTTGCGGGGGGGCGCAAGTAGGCTACAGGATGGGAGGGGAAAAAACTGGAAAAAAAAATTGCAAATTTGTGATTTGTTTGGATTCATCTGATCTATTTTCGCTGCTAAAATAGACCAAAACGGTCATTATTTCATCAAAAATG